CAGAGATGGGTGTTTTGTTTTACTTTTTCAAAAGTTATTTCTACGGAAAGTGAAGTAATCTACAGGGAGAAAAAATATAGTTTTATTTAAGTAGTGATTGCTAGCCAGTCAACTAGCCAGATAGGGGTGATCTGGACACCAATGGACAACGGTTGTGTTCATTTGGCGTTGACCTCATCCCTGATGTATCCGATGTGACTCAGCTCAGAGAACTGTTGAGTCAGTTCAAGTTAATCCAAAAGAGTGAAGTGGCTCCTTGGTGTCTGGATCACTTCCACCTGGCTAGATGGCAAGCATTACTGATTGATGTGAGTGGTATGGAACTACTCATTTCGCCTAATCAGTAGTATATAATTTCATGCATTCTTGTTAGATATCTTGATTACCATATTTGGTGGTATCATGAAGATTACATACTGTGTGATCTCAATAATACGATCTCCAAAGGAAATTGTAGTTTAATTTCACCCCTTGAATTATGTAGATTTAGAGGAATCATATTCTTGTCTGCTCAAAGTAAAATAGAAATTCGCATCATCCTAAAATGATTAAAAAATGCATTCTGGCTTCCCAAAACAAGCCGGATTCAGGAATGGTAAATCATGGACTGATCAAATTGCAGCTCTACACATCACCGTAGAACAAAGCAAACAGAATGGCAGTCAAACCTCTCCCTACATCAACTTCATCGGCTTCAAAAAAACCGTTGACTGCGTTGACTGAACATTAGCCTGGAAATTGTTTAAACACTACAGCTTAGAGTGCAAAAAATCTTTATCAACCTCATTAGTCGGCTGGCTGGCTGGCTGGCTATATGACAATGTCATGCGTCAGCTGATCCACAATGAAAAATTCTCGGAGGTTTTTGAAGTGAATACAGAAGTAAAACAAGTCTGACTGCCTATTATGACCGATCCTGTTTCTAATTGTGGTGGACTGGATTATGCGTTAGACTTCGGATAATGACAAGACAGGAATACGTTGGACCAATAAGGAAGACTCTAAAAGATCTAGATTTCACGCGTGGATAATTTATGTTTAATGTCATACAAACTCGAAGACTTACAGGCGAAAAGCAACAAATTGGCTGAAAATGCAGGCAGGCAGGCAGGCAGCAAAGATAGGACTGCAAGTGAACATAGACAAGATATGAATAATGATGAACATGAACAACAACGAACAACAACAACAACAAACAGCATCAATCAACATCAACGGGGAGAAATTTGACAGAGTATACTTCGTTCACTTACCGGGGCAGCCAGAATAGTTTCAACCACAGGTGGAACGGATGAGGATGTGAAATTCAACCATGATCCGAAAGACAGGGTACAGCTTCCTCACTCTGAAATCAGTTTAATAGTCTTCTACATTCATGGTAATTTGGATTTTTAACACAAATGTTAAATCAGTCTATCGATATGGCCAGAAGAAATTAGCAACAAGAAACTATGGGAAAAGATTGACCAAGAACGTACGCCTAACAGATATACAGAAGAATATGGAGGTAGATTCAGCACACACTGAGTAGACTGAAGAATCACAACGCGCAACAGGTCCTTGAGTGGAACCTGAATTGGATACAACGAGTGGGTAGTCGGTGCGAGGGTGACATGGAGGTGATTGTGAGAGAAGGAGGAGATAAGAGGCTACGGTCAGTCGTGGGCCAAGCCGAAGGGGCAGCAGAAAGTAAAAAAAAAGTGAAGGCGTTTCTTTGAAGCCGTATTTTCCACTCCCAACCCAAGGGAATGACAATAATAATAATATTATTATTATTAATAACTTATCTGCGAATTGTGAATTTGAGTAATTGATATAATATATGATGTGCTACTGATTGGTTGATTAGAGTAGTTGTGAGCTGGAGTTTCAAAATGATGATGTTCTAAATCGTAGAAGATTGTTTCAGTCATTTCAGGTTGAAATAATCAGAAATATGCTCTAACTGGTGTAGTTAAATATTTCAATCCATTAGCTTTTTGAACCAACTAGCAAAAATTAAAATTTTCAAGCCTAATGTTTTGAGGATTCATAATGCATCATGATGCTATTTCACTGTGAGACAAGAAGATTTCGCAAAATCATGTCATCTTTTCTACTGTCATATGGTACACAGAGCATGCCTGAGATTGGAAAGTCTCCTGACAATTGAATCTATAATTTAAAAATGCAATATTTTAAACTTCCGTTGGAAACTAGTTATTGCAGTACAGTCCTACAAGGAGGTTGATCGTGAACAGAAATACCTCAATGGTAGCATCTCAGGCTGTAGCTTCAAATGGTATAAGTTCAAATTTCAGAAGTGACATGGGTTCCTCCTTCAAGACTACGTCTTGCTGTCTGGTAAGAGCCAAGAAGTACAAAACCTAGGTCAGGCTAGGGACTCCTTTTGACTGTCTCCAACCATTTATTATTATTATTGTATCCTTTAGTTCCTAGAGGAACATAGGGCTTCAGCTGAGCACCTCCATTGCCTTCGGTTTTCTGACAACTTTTTCACCCTGCTCCAGGTCTGCCCACATACTTTCATCTCCTCCTCGCATGACCTCCTCCAAGTCACCCTTGGCCGCCTCCCTTTCGGGGTCTCACTCGAGCGATGGCTTGTCTAGTGATGTCACTCATTTGATGGTTTCCTCAGTGTATGGCCAGCCAATCCATCTCAATTTATTCCTGCCTGTTTGTTTCACAATCGGTTACTGGTTGTGATGGTTCGCTCCCAGAGATCCCTGTTGCTGATCTTTTCTGGCCGGCCATCTGATCTTGAGTAGTATTGAGAGAAGACAGCTGTCTGTTGATGAGGGTCTGAAGTTTGTTTGAGATGCTCTTTATGACTCGCCAAGTCTCTGATCCGTATAGAAGCACTGACTTTACATTGGAGTTGAAAATCCGGATCTTATTTTTGATGCTGAGTGCTGTTGACCTTCACACAGATTTGAGGGTAATGAAAGCTTGTCTTGCTTTTCCGATTCTGGCTTTGATATCTTCGTCAGTTCCGCCTGTAGTTGAGACGATGCTTCCCAGGTAGGTGAAGGAGGTTGTTTCTTTCAGGTTCTTCCCACTTATGCTGATTGTTCTCTGTTGTTGTTGTTGTTGCTGTTGATGTTGGCTAGGAATCTTCATCACCTCTGTTTTATCTATGTTCACTTGAAGTCCTATCTTTGATGTTTCTTCTGCCAACTTGTTACTTTTCACTTGCATATCTTTCTCTAGTTTGTGGGAAATCAGATATATATCATCGACGAAGTCAAGATCCTCCAAGTCTTTTGTGTCAGTCCATTTTATGCCTGTTCCCTCGTTGGTTGCCGTTGTCTGTCGCATTATCCAATCAATTGCAATCAGGAAGATCATTGGTGATAGTAGACAGCCTTGCCTCACTCCCGTCCTCACTTCTAAGGCTTCCGTAAGTTTCCCGTTGTGGATTACTTGGCATGCAGCATTGTCGTATAACTGTTGGATGAGATGCATAATTGTCGATGGGACCCCACAGTAGTAGCGAAGTAGTTGCCAAATCACCTCTCGATCGACGCTGCACTATCGAAGGCCTTTTCAAAGTCGATGAAGTTGAGATAGAGAGGTGACTGCCATTCCAAGCTTTGTTCAATGATGATCCGTAGAGTGGCGAAGGTAATCGACAGGATGGTCTGAAAAACCATACGAGGCCAAGTTTTAGACAACAGTGATCCAGGAGGATAGAATACTTCGATGAGCTTGAAATACACAAGCAGAGGAAGGTTACCAAACTAGGGATTCTAATATTCTAATCATGAAAAGTGGTTTGAAACGAAACGTGGGAATATTGAACAGGATACCTGATTGGTTTTTAGTTAGATTTGAGGAAGACTACGGCTATTATTATTTATTATTATTCCCTTGGGTTCCGAGTGGAACATAGGGGTTCAACAGCATATCTTCACTCTGTTCTGTTTCTCTGTTGTCCTCTTCAGCTGGCCACTTATCTCTTATTTCCTCTTCCCCATACGATCTCATTCATGTCACCCTCGATGTGACGACCCACTCGTCGTTTCCCATTGGGATTTCACTCGAATGATGGCCTACGTTGAGCGCGATGTCATCCGATGGCTTCCTCAATGTACGCCAGATCAATCCATCTCCATTTTCTCCTACATATTTGTTGAGTAATCGAATCTCGCCTGTTGGTTTGTTCCCAGCCAGAATCCCATGTTGCTAATTCTTTCTGGTCGACCATCTGGTCATTTGATCTTCAGTATGGAGCCAGCGATGGGCACAGCTGTTGACAAACGTCTGCAGTAGCCTGTTGGAAATCTTTTTCGTTACACGCCAAGTTTCTGACCCGCATAGAAAAACTGACTGACTAACTTCTTATTTATGTTGACAATTTGAATCTTGTTATTTATGCTGGCTTAATAAGTGCAGAAGAATTCCAAACTGGTTTCAGTTAGATGAAAGTGTATTTTGCCCCGCCCCCCGGCCCCCGCGCCTTTCGACTGTGGCTGCATTTCACACATTCATTCATTCCACCAGTTGTAGTTGAAACTATGCTTCCTGGCTGGATAAGCGAAGGAAGTAACCACTTTCAAGTTTCTCCTGTTTATATCGATTGGTGCTGGTTGCTGTTGGTTGGTGTATATATTCATCCCCTCTGTTTTCTCTTTGTTCATCTGGAGTTCTGTCTTCGCTGCCTACCTGCTTCTTGGTAGGTTTTCGCCTGCCTGCAAGTCTTCATCTGCGAAATCCAGATCTTTTAGAATTTTCTTCTAGTGACTTTGGTGGTGCAGGCACCACCTTTATTTCCTTTCAGGCAACAGGCACTGTATCCTTGTGAAACAATGCACTAAAAATGAAGTTATCTTATTGCTTACTACTCAATATATCAATCAGTAGTGCATACATGCCATTAGATAACTGTAATTTCATTCAATTAAAAAATTCAAACATTTTTAGAAAATCTTACTTATGATTTTTTTCCATACACAGTTTATTAATTCGATCTTCTATGTTTTTTCTGTCTCGATTTTCAGAGATGTTGATTTTCCTGGATTTTTAAGTTTTATTGAAGGTAGACTGGCTAAAGTGTATGCCGCCGCAAATGGTCTACAACAGGAGGAAGCTGCAGCTGAAATTAAACGAAAAATCGCTGAAACATCACCAGCTATTCATGGTGGTACTGTAAGTTACTTAAAAAACAAATATCAAATTTTCGTTGTGATCAGAATTACTTATTTCTGACATTCTGAATGGGACTTATGGCTTCACTGCTACACATATCCATTGAACCCAGCTGTCTGTCATCAATTTTCACTGACTTCATGAATGTACACAAAATCTAGTTTATCCCACACCACCCTCGAGCCATCCTGCGTCGATGGCACGGTGGTAGAATGCTCTCCAACTACGCATATGATTCAGGGTTCGATCCCCGGCCACCGACGCATCCTCTACCTCGTTAAGCCAGTAATAAGACTGATAAAGAGGGAAGGTTGGGCATGAGACTAACAACCCTACCTATCCTGAAAAAATAAACACCACTGCTACTTAAACTTCAAGCCTCCAGATTGAAGCCCTCGCTATGTTCCATTGGGAACGTACAGGAATGAAAAAATCCCACAGGCCTATGTCCCAACCCGCTGCCTCCCATCTGGGTCCCATTTGAAGATCCGACGAGTTATGTTTCTTGATTATCCCACCAGCGTATGTCCCACCCACCTCCATTCCTTTCTACTTAGTTTTTTGGACAATAGGCTCTTGCCTAGGGGTTCATTGCCTGGCCATCCGATCCTAATTGTAGAACAAAGACGATAGGTGTTGACAAAATTATCCTGTAGCCTATTGAAAATGCTATTGGTGACATGCTGACCGAGTGTCTTTAGTACGCAGAATCACTGACTGATTTGAAATGAGTGTTGAAGGCTCAGATTTTACTCCTTATGCTGAGTAAGTACTGTCTATCCGCATACTAATTTCAGAGGTAAATGTTCCCTCCCAATCATATTTAATTTCCATATGACCAGCATATCATTTTTGACTTGAGAACTGAGTGAATAGGCTCTCAATCTTTGGCAGTTAATGAGTTCCTGTGATCATAGTTGGCAGTGAAGAGAAAAACGTCTCAAACATGACTTCTTTTTCCTGGGTTCTAAGTGGAACACACGTCTTCAATAACACATATCCATCTTGTTCTGTTTTCTGCTGTCCTCTTTACCTGGATCCGTGATTACCCATAGTCTCCTCCTCATACGATGTCCAAGTCACACTCACACAGAGATGCCTAACTCGTAGCTACCCGTTGGGATTCCACTCGAAAGATGGTCTGGCTGGCGCACGAAGTCATTCCATGGCCTCCTTAACGTATGCCCAATCCATCTCCAATTTCTTTTACATATTTGTCGAGAGAAATCGGCCTGCTGGTCGGCCATTTGATCTTCGGTATGAAGCCAGTCAGTAAAGGAGGCAGCTGTTGATGAAAGTCTGCATAGACTGTTGGAAAACCTTTTTGTGACACAGTAGCGAAGTTCCTGACTCGTACAAAAGAACCGACTTGACATTGGAGTTGAAAATCCAAATCTTGTTCCTTATGCTGTGGTGGAGTGCAGAAGATTTCCAAACTGGTTTCAGATTACTGAAGGAGTATCTTGCCTTTCCGATTCTAACTTCATCGATTCCAGGTGCCTGTAGTCAAAAATGATGCTTCCTAGCCAGATAAGTGAAGAAAGTAACCTCTGCTGAATCTCTCCCGTTGATGGCGATAGGTTCTGGTTGTTGTTGTTGTTGTTACTCTTGGTTGGTTGTCTTCATCACCTGCCTCCATCTTCTCTATATGTTCACCCAGGGTCTCTTCTCAGGCAGTGCTCACATGATGAATCTCTTGGCAGAATTACTTTTTTTAACAAGTTCTTAACTCATATAAAAATGGATCCATATCAGACTTAACTCTCTATACTCTTTATTCTTTGATAAAATTTGGAACATTTTTGATCATGAGCTGACCATCAGAAAACCACCATGGATTACTGTACAACTGTTTCGTCTTCCTAGTTTTGGGTCTCTTCAGTATAACTTACCCATCGGGGTTAGAATCCAGGACCATAGGGTTACAAGACGAGCTCATAGACTATCCCCCACTGGGACGCCAGCCAATGTTTCATGAATTCGAAGTTCTGCCAATTCATGATATACAATATAAACAACACCAGTCAGTGTCCTCTTACTAGAATTGATGAACCCTGTTTTTTTCCTTTCATGTTCCCCAGTGGAACATAGGGCTTCAAGCTAGTGGCCTGAAGTTTCTGTAGAAGTGTTTATTTTACAGGATGGCGTTGGAAGCCTCATGCCCAACCTTTCCTCTACACCAGCATTATTTCTGGTTCAGCGAGGTAAACGGGTGCGTTGGTGGCCGGGGATCGAAACCCGGACCATGTGCATAGTTGGTGAGCGGCCTAACCGCTATGTCACCGATGCATTCGATGGACCCTGTAGGTTACAATAATAACAATAATAATTTGCTTTATTCCAACACAGTACTTATGATACAGAGTGGAATTCTCAGCATTTCACTACAGTATTGCATCCAGTTAGTACATTAACAATAATTAAAATTCTGCATAGATTAAGAGTACTCTCGGTTAGTTTTGACAACAACATACTAGCATGTCGGTAGCGAAGCCAAAATTGAACAGAATGTTTGAAGATGTTAGAAAGGTAGATACTAGCATGTTTACTGGCGTAAGCGGTAACAAAAAGTTCGAGATATACAGAGTGTGAAAGAACGAAGAAGAATGTTTTAAATAGAGTTTGTAAGGAAGAGCGAAACAAAACAGCACATAACAACACAAAAAAAGAGAATAGGGAAAGAAAGAAAGAAAACGTTGTACCTATAAATGATATGAGTTGGAAAAACGAAATCCAGTTGTTCTACTGACTACATAGGTATCACGCCTAATGCTTTCTTTATCGCAGAGAACACGAGCCTAGTAGGGAGGGTATGGTTGAGTTTTTTGTACTTACTAGTGCGAGCATATAGTTTTATATGTAGGCTTCAAGTCTGGTCTGGCTTGATGAGATACAAGGGGGGAGAGTTGTGAATGAAGAGGGTGGTGGTGTGAGTTAGATAAAATGAATTGAGCCCATTTTTCACATGAGTCCAAGTGCCTGTCGACCAGAATATTAACAAGCTGGTTAAGTGGTACGTTGCTTACCCTGCTGACAACCTTTAACATCCTGCGTAATCGATTTTAAAGTGTGTATTTATAGTTAACAAACCAAGAGAGGAAGGTGTGAAGAAGCGTGTGACTTGACAATTTTGATCCTGAAGTTATTTTTTTTAACTATTAATAGGAATTCGTAGTCGACCGCAGTGATTCAACTTACGCATGACATATCCTCCCCCAGTGTCTACTCTACCCTTTCCTCTCATCTTTATGCACAATGAATGGCTCGCAAAGACCATCACACTCTTCTAATTATTAAGGTTGTTCTACATTCAGGTTCCAGTGAAGGATATGGAGAGTGAGTGAAGTAATCGGAGACAAAATTCGGAGATGTCACAAAGTGAGATTACCTACTGAAGCTGTACTGTGCTGGTTACATTTACTGCATTTCGTCTTATTTCACTTCTCCGATTCTCCGCTGATGGTAGTTCACACACGAAATCAATTGTTCACGCTGCTGATGGTGGAATGTGTTCCAATCATATGACTTCAAATATTTAGCGATATTCACGCAATACACAGTCACTGTCTGTGCATCACATAATGCTTCCTATCTATATTGTGTTTGAATTACATGGTGCGATAATCTTCCGTTGATGAAGATATTGCAGGTGTCAATCGACTATGATTCTACGAAACACGAAAATGTCGCTGATCGCTTGTTCTAATGGGACACAATCTTGGATCAGTCGTGGAGTTGAAAACAGAATTATAATTACGAGCACAGTGACTTAATGGTGTTTTCAGTCGCATAGCTTCTCAGACAGCCTGTCTAGTTTTGTCGCTGCACAAGATACACTCTGTTCAGTTTCAATTTTCATTTTGTGATTTTGTGTTTATCACACAGCTGGTGAAATGATCCTGCCACAGATGGAGCACTGGGTGATATTACCTGAAAATTTGTCATTCATTCCGATTTGTAATCACGACTCAAGGATTGAGTAAATAGGCGCTTTGTTGATTTATTAGTCCACTATACGAGGTTAGCGGAGACTACAAAGTTGGATACAGAAAAGTTCACTTGTCTTATTCACTACAGTTCCCGCTATCCTCTCTGCTTCGTCTTTCTTTTCAACGGATCTTCAAAAGACTTCACAAACTAAACAGTTCACACACCAGAGATAACAAGATTTCACTGAAAACAACCGGATCTCTGTTCTCAGAGGGAACAGATCCAGCCATCAAGTATCACATCCATCATTTTCTGTTCAAACTATAAATTCATAAATCCTGTACTATTATTCTCAGTTGACCTAAAATTTAGTTCAATGTTATCGTAAGAATAATAATAATAATAAGCTTTATTCCAAACCAGTATCTGCCAATACAGAATGGAATTCTCATCATTTTACTACGGTATTGCATCCAGTTAATACATTATCAATAAAGAAAATTCTACATAGATTACGGAAATATCAGTTCATCAATGACAACAACTTACTGACATGTCAGTAGCAAAGCCAAAATTGAACAGAATGCTTGAAGGTGTTAGAAAAGTAGATGCTGGCATATTTACTGGCGTAAGCGGAAGAAAGAAACAAAGCAGCACATAACAGAAAAAAAAGAGAGGGAGAGAATAGGGAAAGAAAGAAGGAAAGAAAACGTTGTACCTATAAATGATATGAGTTGGAAAGACGAGATCCAGTTGTTCTACTGACTATTTAATCAGTTATAAGTTTCACGCCTAATGCTTTCTTTATCGCACAGAACATGAGATAAGTAGGGAGGGTATGGTTGAGTTTTTGTAATTCCTAGTGCGAACATATAGTTTTCTACATAGGCTTCTGCTTCTGCCTGATGAGATAGATACAAAGGGAGAGTTGTGAATGAAGAGGGTGGTGGTGTAAGTTGGATAAAATGGATTTAGCCCATTTTTCATATGAGTCCTAGTGCCTGTCGACCAGAATATTAACAAGCTTGTTGGTTAAGTGGCACGTTGCTTACCCTGCTGACAACCTTTAA